ATGATCTGCCCTCGAGACTGGCTAGCAACTATGAAGCAACTTGGTGGAATTAACTGTACATCCTTTTATGCGCCGACTGGGAATGCAAGACGATACCATCCCACGAAAATGACGTGCTGCGTTTGTACAGAGACAGAGGCTTCATCAACGCGTATACACCTCTCTTTCTCTCTCTCTCTTTCTTTTTCTCTCCTCTTTTTGGTGTTATGTGTGATCTCAACGAAGCTGTTGAGCTCAGGCAGGCGTGCGATCACGTCATTCATTCACCTGCGTGAATGTGGCTCGTTTCCTCTGACCTCCCCTCTCTCTCTTTCTCTTTCTTTCTCCTTCTTTCTTTCCCGCCGCGAGACTACTCCTATTGTTCATCGTAAATCCGTGGATGCTGACGGATCACGGTAGAAACTATGAGATTTTTCGTTTATGCCATATACTGGACCTACTCTTTCCTTCTTTATTATTCGACTCTCAATCGCGGAATGTGAATCTCTCGCACCAGGTCATTCATTCAGCAGCCCGGGATCAAAACCAGAGTAAAGCATCTTTCTCTCTTACTCTCTCTCCTGCTTCTTCTTAAACCTTGAGGATCAACCTTTCTAAAGACACACGAAGAGGACAGAAGCTTCTTTACCTATACCACCATAAGAGTTTATAGGGAAACGAATCTCCAATGGACTCGATCAACGGGAGAAAGAAAGAGAGAAGAGAGAGAGAGAGAGAGTGGGAGAGAACCAGGAATGCCTTGCCAGTGCAATATGTGATCTTGCCCCAGCCGCAGCCGAGTACGTACGATCGAGCCGTTCATTCACCTGCTACTTCCCTCTTGCCTTCCACCCGCTGCTCTTTCCTTCCAGTTCTTCTCTCTCTTTCTCTCTCTCAGTATTTTTCTCTCTTACCCCCACTGGAGAGTGCTCTCTCTTTCTCTCTCTCTCTCTGTATTTTTCTCTCTTACCCTCACTAGAGAGCGCTCTCTCTCCTTCTAGTGAGGGTGAGAGAGAAAACTACACCACCAAGGGTGACGGAGAGAAAAAGAGAGATACAGAGTTATTTCTCTCCCTCTCTCTCTCTCTCTACCAAGGGTGAGAGAGAGAGAACTATTTCTCTCTTTATGCTCCCCTCCCCCTCACCTCCCTTAAGTCTGCATGGCAGTACCCATTACTTCTCTTAGATCACGCTCGTGATCCATGAGGTCGTAAAAGATCGTTTGAAGCATCCAAGAAGCTGGGGCTCTCTCTGAAGTTTGATCGAAACGAGACAAAACCAGGTCGATATCAATTGAAGCAAACTTTCTTCTTCATCATCATGTTGAAAATTTTCCAATTCAAAAAAAAAAAAAAGAAAAAAAAACAACCTCCTCATAACTATTTGTGACGCGCTCCCAAAGAAAGGTACCTAAGTAGCAAATGAATTACAGATTATGTTTGTGTTAAATTTATCTTAATTCCTTTTTAATTCTTGATTCTTGATAATGAATAAAATGAAAAAAATAGAATCAATAAATAATGTGTGTTTAGACAAGTGGGTAGCGTCCAAGTCTACAGTGCTGAAGGTACCGAGTTCGATTCTCAGGAGAGGGCGGATTTTTTAATTTTAGGTTATAATAAATAAATTAAATTCGATATTTAAAAAAAATATAATAATCAATAAATAGATTGTAATTAAAAAGAATAATAAACAAACAAAATAATAATAAATTATTAAAAATAAACAAGTTGAAAATAACAAACTAATAATAATATACAAGTTAAAAATAACAAACAAAGGAAATAAAAAATAAGAAAGTAAATGAAAAATGAAAAAATAAAAGATAATTCTAAAGAATAAATAATTAAAAATAAAAAAAAATAATTTCCAATCAAAAACGAAAGAAAAGGAGGAAAAAAATTTCGTCTCTACATATATTTAAAAAGAAAGACCTGAGGAAATGGTAAGAAAAAGGGTAGACAACAATTAACAAGGTATAGGAACAAGATGTTGACTAACATATCCTGGATTGTCTCTCTCTCGCGGGAGCGCGGTCACAAGGCAACTTGAATGAGCGGCATGGAAAAATTTCAAGAATGTGGAAGCTGTCAACCCAGCTTTTAAGAATTCACTGGATTCGTGGAAGTGTATGCGCGCGCGTTTGCTTGCTTTTGCTCGCTCGCTGCTCGTTCATTCCTTGGTTCGTTCGTGCGTTCGTTCGTTCGTTCGTTTGTTGGTTGGTTGTTTCGTTCCTTCGCTCGCCCTGCGGTAGAAAACTTGTCTTTATCTTGTCGCGCACAAAAGTTGCAGGCCTCTACCGTCTGGTATTTTATATACCCGCGATATTTGTCTAGCTGTGCGGCGGCAAGAGCTTCTCGTGTTAAATATTTTTATTTCACGTCTCATGTTCACTGACTTAACAAATTCCTTTGAATAGAAACAACTGTTCTTCTGCCGCGATCCATTAGCTTTACATTTCAATGAAGCCAAAGAAATTCATTAAATCCATCGCGACACTTTTTTCTTTCTTTCTTTCTTTTATTTCTCGTCATCGGCGAATTTTTTATTTCTTTTCTCTCAGCAAATTTCTGTTTATTACAAAAATTTATGTCTTAATTGTAATAATGAAATTAGTAGCTATCATGATAATAAGGAAAATAATAATTATTATTATTATATAATACGCTGTCATACGAGTATTCAAAAGGGTAATTTATTAGGGTTTTAAAATTTAGAATTATAAAGATTTGAGGATTTGACGTTAAGAATTTGAAATGTTTGCAAATTTCGATGGTCTCAAAAATTTAAAACTAATCAACACCCCGAATGTTCAAAACCTCGAAAGTTCAATTCCCCGAATGCTCAAAACCTCGAAAGTTCATCTTCTCGAATGTTCAAAACCTCGAAAGTTCAAATGCCCGAATATTCAAAACATCGAAAATTTAAAACGATTATACATTTCAATTACATTAAATTATTTTTAAATAATTATATCGCATAATATTTACTTTAAATATTTAATTACTTTATTTATATTTAAGTAAATGAATAAATTAATATAGTATATTTATAAAAAAAAGTAATTGATAGATTTTTTTTAGCATATAAAAGTTTTTAAAATTCTATTTAAAAAACCATGAAGAGTTGTAGTTATTGTAAAAAATTAAATGTTGTATTTAAATAATCGAATTTGCGATGAACTTTCAGAAAATTATTAAATGAAAAATATTAAATGTTTTAAAGGAGAAGTTTATTTAAAAATTCTAGAAATTAATTAAATTTTGAAATATATTTTGTAATCGATTAAAACTACTTTTCTTTTTAAAATTTTACTAATGTTGAAGTGGATGTTCTTGAACATTTTTAAATCAATGATCATGATCAGTGCACCGAAGCATATTATTAGTCAGTGAAGCTATCTGAGAAAACCAGTTTTTACTAATTCTAGTAATTATGTAATTTAATAAGCTTAACTCTGATTAATTACTAAACATAATTGATTTATAAGAAGAAAATCTATGTCTGAATCTGTGAAAATCTGCGTGCTATTGAACACCATTGAATGTTTTTAAAAATAATTGAGAATTTTAAAACAAAACCTTATGAAAAATGATGAATTATTATAATTGAAGCGCAGTAAAAATGTAATTAAAGATCATTTAAAATTAGTAAAAATATAATTATTGCAAATTAGTTAAAAAATTTTCTGAATATTTGCATTTGCATAATTTCATTGATTTCATTGATTGAATGAATTTTAGTTTAAATTTTAGATAATAATTAAATATTAAAAGCATTACAGCATGAAGTTTTAGAAATAATTGAATTTTGAAAATGTTTTAAAATTAAAATCATTCGAAATTTGAATTTTTTATCATTTTAACTGACAATTTTGTAGAATTAATTTTTTTGCAATTCTTGACAAAATATCAATTATTTTTAAAAATTTTCCTCAATTCAATGATTTTAATCAATAATTTTAATGTACCTACAATTTTTAAAAAATTTTCCAAAAGAATTCAATTAATTAAAAAAAATTTAATAAAATTCAATGCAAACCTTTAATTATATTTTCATAAAATAATAAAAATTTTACAGGAATTCAATTATTTATAAATTTTGTTATAAATTTCTTCCGAAGAATTTAATTATTTTCATAAATAATATGATTCTTCGCAATAATTCAATTATTTTCATAAATAATAAAATTCTTTTTATAAATTCAATTATTTTCTAAATAATATAACTCATCGCAGAATTTAAATTATTTTTAATACAATTTTAATCGAATTCCTCGAAAAATGTAATTGTTCTTAACAATTTTAATAAAAAACGTCAAAAGAAATCAATTATTTAAAAATGTTTTGATAAAATACTTCATGAGAATACAATTTTAAGAAATATTTAATTATTCAATAAATTATTTATTTTTGTATTTAACTATTTGAATACTCATGGAATTTTCTAATAAAAATTAATTTGAATAATGAATTTTAGTTAAAATTTTCGACAGTAATTGAATATTAAAATAGCATCATAGCATAAATTTTTAGTAATAGTTGAATTTTGAAATGGTTTCAGCTGTTATTGTTATAAAACATGAAGAAATCGATGATTCCGATTCTTCGACTCGGAGTGATTTATATCTTCAATGTTTTCTAATAATATATTCTTAAAAGTTATTGAATTTCAAAAAGTTTAAAATTTAAAATTTTTGAAAATCTTAATTCCTTAAATTGTACCCGGAAATCAGGGAAAGTCATGGAAAAACAAAGTTCAATTTTTGTGGCAACTCTGGAGTAATTTTTGTTAGAGGTCTATAGTTTTAAGGGATGAAAAATGTTTTTTAAAAAATTTTTTCTCATATTCAATACTGGAATAGTAAAATAGTTAAGTTTAGTTAGTAATAGTTAGTAAAATAGTAAAATAATTAAATAGTAAAAATATTAAATAAAACTAAAATATTTGCAAATAAAAAAATGCTTTTTTTTCTTGAAAAAAAAAAACTAAAACTTTTTCTTTCTGATTTCTATTTGCAGAAATTTAGCAATTGGCATTGGCATACAAAATTTCCCCGAAGGTTTAGCAGTGTCGTTGCCCCTGCAGGCGTCGGGTGTGAGCACATTAAAAAGCTTTTGGTACGGCCAATTGTCAGGGATGGTGGAACCCATTGCCGGTATCCTTGGGGCTGTTGGAGTCTCACTCGCCGCCCCTACATTGCCTTATGCATTGGCTTTCGCCGCAGGTGCTATGATTTACGTTGTTATCGATGACATCATTCCGGAAGCACAACAAAGGTTTGCAAAATATATCTCTCACTTTATTATTTCTTTTTTTTTCAAATTACATATAATATAATATAAAATTCCTTCATTGTATATATAATAAAAAGAAGGCAAAATAAGAAAGGTAAACAAAGCGAAAGAATAAATATTTCTTTTTCGAGAAAAAAGTAAAAAATGTCCTCTCTCTCTCTCTCTCTCTCTCTCTCTTTCTTTCTCGCTCTTTTTTTCTCTCGATCGATAAATATTTCATCTTAAGAAAATAATGATCTTTGTATTCATTTTTTAATCGCTTAAAACTGATTCCGGTTTTCTCTTCCCCTATTCCTAACATCTTTCATTTTTTTTATTATTATTATTATTATGTGTTTGTGCATATGCTTTTTTTTAAATCTGTCCATCCTTCTTTCGATTTTGTTCCCTTTTCTTTTCCTTTTTTTCTTTTTTGCCTTATTCTCGCCATAGCTCCGAGAAGTTCGCATATGTATTGCAATTGCATTCACTTCCGTCTCAAGTTTCCCCTTGGATTTAATAAAGAACGAATTAGAGTTAGTGAAAAGGTGCGGAATCAGAAGGGCGAAAGATGCTTATAGTAGACAGCATAATGCTCTCTCTTTATTTTTTGAAATAAAAAAAAAATCGTACCCTTCCATAAACTTGACCTTGAAATCTTCTCTCTTTCTCCTTTTTTTTCTCTCTCTCTCCTTCTCTAGGCGAGACAAATTTTATTCAAATTTCGGTAAATAAAATTCAAGGGAGAAATAAATTAGTAGTCGAATAAGAATCAAAAAATAAAATTATTCAAAATGCAATTTCTGAACAAAATTTTTTATTTCTTTTTCCTTTCGAACAAAGGCAAGGACTCTAATTGTTAACTTGTTAGAATTTTCAAGCTAACAACAAAATTATTTTTTATATTTCTTCTTTTAATTCTTATTATATTTATTTGAGATTTTATATTATTTATCTTCCTGTTTTGATTTTTAAATTATTATTTTGTTTTTCTCATTATTCTACAAAAAATATTATTGTTTCTTTTTTAATTAGAATTTATTTATTCGACTTATTATTTATTTTTTTACTCTTTTGTATTTTAATTATAATGTTTATTAAATTATTTATAATACAATATTTTTTATATTTAAAAAAAGCTTAAAAACAGAATATTTAACCCTAAACTAATTTTTTTCTGCTTTTGTTTTTTTGCTCTTTTTTAATAAACAAATAAATACCTATTAAATTGTTATGAACAAATAAATAACAATATATAATAAACCAATAAATAATAATTTGCTGTTAATTAACAAACAATAAATTGTTATAAACTAATAGATTCTATTTCTTAATTTCAATTGTTTTAATAAAATTCAAAGTTTTTGAAAAATAAATAAAAAAAAATTTTTACAAATAATATTTCTCAATTAGAAAATTTAATTGAAAATGAAACTAAAAATTTTTGAATTTTTAGAAAATGAAGGAAAAAATGTTCCGTTAAATTTATTTACGAATATCTGTAATTGTAAAATTATTCGAAAACAATATTTCTTTCTTAAATATTTTAAATATTTAAATATTATTATTCTTCCGTAAGAATTAAGAATTTACACTAAAATTCATTTTCATATCAATTTTTATTAGAAAATTCTACGAGAATTCAATTATTTAAATACAAAAGTAAATTATTTATTGAATAATTGAATTTTTCTTAAAATTTAATTCTTATAAATAATTCTTTTGACGAATTTTAATGAAATCTTTTAGAATAGTTACATTTTTCAAGGAATTCGATCATTGAAATGAGGAAAATTTTTGAAAATAGTTAAATTGAAATTTGGGCAAGAATTTTATTAAAATTTTTGAAAAGAATTGAATTTTGAAGAAGAATTTTCTTATTTATAATTTAAAGATATTAATTGGGATTTTGTTTAGATTTTTGTGTAAATTTTGAAAATAATTGTAATTAGGACAAGAATTTTATTAAAAGTTTTGAAAAGAATTGAATTTTGAAGAAGAATTTTTTTTATTTATAAAGATAATAATTGTGATTTTGTCGAGATTTTTTTTTTGTAAATTTGGAAATTAATTGAATTTTGTAATAAGAATTTTATTATACTTTTAAAAATAATAGAATTTCTGCAATCATTCGAACTTCTTCAAAATTCAATTTTTTTGTCGTGTTTTTAACTAAATTTTTAATAATTAATTAAAAAAAAATAGACAAATTTAAATAATTTTAGAAGATTTTGAATTTTAAAAATTTTTTTAAAATCTAAGTTCATTAAAATTTCTAATTAAATTCATTCTACATAAATTCATATTTTATTTTTGTAAAAAACATTTGAATTAAAAATTGTTACGTTCTATTATTTTTAAAATAATTGCTAATTTTATTTTAAAAAGTGCTCGAGAAGTCAGCCTAGAATTGTTGCTAGTTTATATTAAATTTTAAATTGTTATTAACTAATAAATAATAATGTACATATAATAATTCAATAAATAGTAAATTGTTATTAACAGTTACATAGTATATTGTTATTAACATTAAAATATTAAATTGTTATTAACTAATAAATAGTAAATTCTTATTAATTAATAAATCGTTATTAACGGTAAAAAAAATGACTAAAGTTGTTACAAAAAAAAAAAAAAAAAAAAACGGCCGTAACAAAAAAATAAACATCTTTCTGTCCTGTTTCTTTTCTTCTTTCAATTGCTTTTCCATTCTTTTTTTATTGTTCTTTTTATCAAATCGCTTCGATTAAAATCAATATAGTTAAGAAGTAGAAGGTATTTATATGTTCAATTATTTGGCAAAGAGAATCAATATTTAGTGTAACAATTTATATAAGGTATGTATATTATTGTATTTTATTATGTGGAATTCTAAAGGCGATTATCGCATAGAGAGGCGCGTAATGCCAGTGCCGTAGTTAGCAACAAAACGGACGTAGCGAATTTCTTTCCCAGGCCCCGCTAGACGCGCATTGTCATTATAATTGGCTTCTTTTGTATTTCGCGTGCGATCTAACCGCTCAGCCCGGTCCCCAGAAAAGTAGCTCCTGAGATACTTGGTCGCGCAACGCTCCCTCGGGAACCCCTCCGGAAAATACAAAAGTGAAAACAGATCCCTCTTCCAGGAAACAGTTGCAGGTCAACCGCCCTATATCAATCGATATATGTATATATACATACATGTTGGAAGTCTTCTCTCTTCTTTCCCTTTTTTTCTCTTCTCCTTCTCTTTCTTCTCTTCATTTCTTTTTTCTTCAATGGTCGCGTTGATACTTGCGAAGGTGTATGTTAATGCGCACTTTTTTTTTTTTTTTTTTTTTTTTTTGACAATGAAACATCGCCCGCTTTTATTCAGCAATATTCCAATCTTCACTCGAGTGGAACCACATCGAAAAGATATCAAAAGAATGAAAGTGGACCATTTCAATAAATCACGACCAAATATGTTGGATATTTGTGTTTGTGTGCGTGAATCTGTGTTAGGGATCGCCGACAATCAAGTGATCAATTCGCCATTTAGTCAAAATTTAGAATTTTTCCTTTTTTCTCCAAAAAAAAAAAAAAAATTCGGGGTTTTCCGGTACGTTTTATTATTCAAAATTTTCATTGAACTTAGAAATGAGTTTACAATTATTTCCTTCATTTCTTAAGTTACTTTTGATATAAAAAGACCTTGTCGGAAAAAAATGCTAAAAGTTCCAAAAATCAGTCTGTTAAAAAAAACCGGGTTTCTCCGGTACATTTGCTTATTAAAACTTTCTATGAGTTTAAAAATTAAGATAAAATTGTTTTTTCTCTAAGTTTTTATATAGAAAGACCTCGTTGAAAAAAATGTACAAAATCATTGATGTTCCAAAAATTATTCTTAAAAAAACCGGGTTTTTCCGGTACGTTTGATTAATAAAATTTCCGACGAGCTTAAAAATTAAGTTTTAATTCTTCTTAAAGTCTCTTGAGGTCTCGTTGACAAAAGTAAACCGAGTTTATCCGGTACATTTGCTTATTTAAATTATCATTGAGTTTAAAAATAAATTTATAATTATTTTTTCTGTAAATTTTGATATACAAATGTCTCGTTATCAAAAATATGAGAAGACATTGATGTTCAATAATACAAAGTCTGAAAAAACTGGTATTTCCCGGTACGTTTTTCTATTAAAGTAATTGATGTTCAAAAATTCAATGTCTAAAAAAACCGCGATTTTACGGTACCTTTTTTTATTAAAATTATTGATGAGTTTAAAGATCGAGTTATAATTGTTCGTTCTTTAAGTTTTAATATAAAAAGACCTTTTTGGCAAAAATTTACGAAACTTCTAAAAATTGTTCTTTAAAGAACCGGGTTTTACTGGTACGTTTGTTTAATAAAATTTCCGACGAGCTTAAAAATCAAGTTTTAATTCTTTTTTCTGTAAGTTTCGATATAAAAAGGCCTTGTTGGCAAAAATTTACAAAAGTTCCAAAGATGATTCTGTAAAAACCGGGTTTTTCCGGTACTTTTGTTTATTAAAATTTCCAACGAGTTAAAATATCAAGTTTTTGTTCTTTTTTCTCCAAGTTTGGATATAAAATGGCCTCGATGACCAAATTGGACAAAATCATTAAAGTTTCAAAGTCTGTGGAAAAAATCGGGTTCTTCCGGTACCATTCACCAATGAAATATTCTTCGCGTTTAAAAAAGAGTTTAAAAATCCCAACTAAACACTCGTATCATGGGTGTAAATTTGCTCTCTTCCTACATACGAATAAATGAGACGATGATACAATTTTTTTGATAAGAAGACAAAAATTTTTCTATGACTTATAACATACCGAAAGGAGGTATTTATCGTGTGGATATGATTGATGCGGTAGAACGCCCACTGAAACACAACGGCCATATTTCACCGGTCGTTTAAATTGATGGCCGTATATAATTTACAAAATCAACAAACCGTGACGTGCAATACCGGACCAGTTTGTGCCTGCTTAATCTCTAATTATGCCCGCTAAAAACCCTTTTATTTCTCGCTATCCTGAGTCTTTGCCCTCGTCTCCATGACGAGCTTCTTCCTATATTCCCGCAACTTCCTCACCACCTCCCGGTCATCCCCCGCGCTCATGTCCTGACTTCTCATCCTCAATTTTCTTTTACGACTGATTGTAAAGAAAAAAAAAAAAGAGAGAGAGAAAATCCCCCCAGTAATTTCAAATTCTATTCCTGAATCAAGCAATTATTCTCCTAAGAGAATTATAAACAATAATTAAAATTTCAAATTTTTTCTAACATGTAACTTTACTTTTTTTCTATATTCCAAAACAATAGTGGAAATGGCAAACTTGCAAGTTGGAGTTCAGTCGTTGGATTTCTCGTGATGATGTCTCTCGACGTTGGATTAGGCTAAGAATAAATTTTTTTTTTTTCTAAGAAAAAATTCATTTTGTATACGATCGTAGATATGTTATTTCAGTCAACTGGATAGCAAAAGAAAAAAAAATGAACGAAAGAAAAAAAAATAATGATAACGATGTCGACTGATAGAATATAAAGTTCAATTCCGATATCAGTATTTGTTTGCGTGTTGAGTTGAAAGAATGAATCGCGCGACATTTTTTTTTTTTTTTTTTGACGAAATTAATCTTAGAAACTTTTTCAACAAAGGAACATAAAAATAAGTCTTAATTTTCATTCTTTCAAAAGTAGATAAATTTTTTCATTCATACACAAATGAAATGCAGTTACTGCAGGATTTTTAATTTTCCTCTTTCTGATGTGCAGAGTCAAGATCATTGACAAACACATTTGTTTTTGTAGTGAAAAAGAAAAATATTTTCTTCTTAAGAAAAAGCTTTTTTTTAGTTGAATAGCGAAATATTATTTTTAATCATAGCAACATATTTTTATAAATATTTAAATTCCAAAATATTTTGATAGTAAAATATTTTTGCAAAAAATATTTAGTAAAATCTTACTTAGATAACTTAGATACTTAGATTACTTAGATTACTTTTTTCTTTTTTTAGAAAGAAAAATGTTTTGATAGCAAAGTATTATGATAGCAAAATACTTTGATAGTACTTTACTTAAATAGAAAAATATTTTGATAAAAAAGTATTTTGATTAAAAAAATATTTTGTTAGCAAAGTATTTATGTAGAAAAATATTTCGATAACAAAGTAATTTGGTAGCTAAATAATTTTATAGTAAATTATTTTAAAAGTAAATTACTTAAATAGCAAAATAATTCTATGACAAAGTATTTTGTTAAAAAAAAAATTTCGATATTAAATTACTTCAATACAAAAATAATTTAATAAAAAAGTATTTTGATAGCAAAGTATTTAGATAGCAAAATATTTCTTTCACAAAGTATTTCTATGACAAAGTATTTTGTTAGCAAAGTATTTAGATAGCAAAATATTTCTATGACAAAGTATTTTTTTTTCAAAATATTTCGATATTAAATTACTTGAATAGAAAAATAATTTAATAAAAAAGTATTTTGATAGCAAAGTATTGAGATAGCAAAATATTTCTATGACAAAGTATTTTGTTAGCAAAGTATTTAAATAGCAAAATATTTAAATAGTAAAATATTTTTATGACAAAGTATTTTGATAGCAAACTATTTTGATAGCAAAGTATTTAGGTAGCAAAATATTTTGATAACGTAATATTTTTTTAGCAAAGTATTTATGTAGCATAATATTTTGATAGCAAAAATATTTTTCAGTAAATTACATTAACAGCAAAATATTTGGTGGCAAAATACTTTAGTATAAAAATATTTTGATAGCAAATGTTTACTACTAAAGAAAAACAGTTTTTATTGCTAGTTAACTATCTATTTTAAATAAAACAAAAAAAAAGTAAATACTTTTATTTTTAAAATTACTATTAGGAGAACATTTTATCGTTTAATTTTCAAAGAATCGAAAACTACCAAATTAGAAATCTAGTTTATAAATTTTGCCCTTATTCCAAATTTATTATCCAAAAAATATACTTTTATTTAAGAAAAATATAACTAAAATTCAATTTAATAATTTTTTATAATAATTTAATATTTTTTTTAATAATTTCAACATTTTTGCCAAAAAAAATTTATTTTGTGAAAAAGAAAAATATTGTGAAATAAAGACCAAATATAAAATAATAATAGTTTATGAATAGAATATTTCTGAGTTGAAATAAATAATTTTGTAGTTGTTTTTGTTGTGATTGTTAATATTCCTAAGTGCTAGTTTATTTTTGAGTGCGGTAGAAATATATTTTATTTATAGAAAATGCTCAATGATTATTATTGGAGAAGTAATCTTGACGCTGCACATTTATCATATTGGAGTGTGTAAAATGTACACGGTTGATATATAAGCAATTTTGACAAGAACTGGTCTGTACTTAATAAGTATTTCTACTCATTTGCAATTACAAAATACAAATGTCAAATAAAATAAAGAAATTATGCTCGTCCATCGTGTTCAGTTTTCAATAAGCGCTGCGCAGAAAATAAAAATATAATTCAAAGTGAAAAATTGAAAATTTTGAATCATCGCTTTTCTTTGGACGAGTGTATATTTACACTGAAGGAAATTAATTATTTTATTTTGTAGTTTTAAACATTGTTGAAAATTTTCTCAAAAATAAACAAAAACAAAATATTAAATAAATAAACAAATGAATAAAGTAGAAATAAAATAATATACTAAGAATAAAATGAAAATAAAATAATAAGAATAAAAATAAAAAATTAAATAAGAAAATTTAAAATAGAAAAAAATAAAAATTCCCCCAAAAATAGAGAACTTGAAACGTAAACAACATAAAACGTTACTGTAGAAATTTTATAACAAAAAAATGATTTAGGTAGCAAAATATTTTAATAGCAAAGTATTTTGATGGTAAAATAATTTGATAGTAAATTCCTTTATTTATTTTTGTTTTTAATATAAAATCAAATGTAGGCTTTAAAATTAAAAAACTTACTTTACGTTTTAAAATTATCAACTTTTATCAAAATAGTGCAAAGAAATTATAAATAAAAAAATGAATAACAAAAAATAGATAAAATTAATTTCCTTCAGTGCTTTTTTATAGCAACATGTTAGAAATCAAAAGTGCAATTTACGAGTTTGAAAAAATTTGTCAATATTAATCTTCCACTTTTTACAGAGAATTTTTGAATGAAAAAAAAACTTGCCAACCATAAAAGCTTTTGCAATCACAAGCGCAAAAGCATTTCTAATATAGATACAATTTAATTTTTGAATTATGTTTTTAGAAATATTCTTCACCAAAAAAAGCATAATTTAAAAACTTGAATAAAAATAATAGAAAAAATTGGTTTATATTAAACCAATTTTCAGGGTAATCACAGATGTGAAAAAAAATCGCAGTATGTATAAACGTCTTTTGCAAAGACATAATTTAAACGAGTGTCAATAATTTTTCCGAAAAATATTAATAATAATATATAAATAGTAATTAATTATTTCTATTGGTTAATATTGGTTTGTAAATAATTAATTTACTAATTACTTACCAATTATTAATTTTTTACTAATTTGAACTGAATTAATTTTTCATTTACTATATTATTAAAAAAAAAAATTAATTAATTACTATTTTTTACTAGAAATTAATAAAATTGTTAAATAAATGAAATTTTTAATTTTTTTAAAACCACTTTTCGTGATACAGTATAAAATAGAAAGTCAATTTATATTTTCATCGTAGAAACGTATTTTTGATATTAATAATAGATAGATACAATTTTTTCTTTGCACGAGGCATTCGATAGCAATCCTAATGTACAGATTTTTTATCCTGTGTAGATAACTTTATAAAAAAAATGAATAATGTCATTGAATTGGTGCATTTTTTATATAATCGAGTATAAAATATATATTAATCCTTTAAAAATAAAATTTACGAAATAATAAATCCATGTAAGAATGTAATTCGAAATGAATAAAATTATTTTTTGCCAAATTATGTTTTATTCGACTGCTCCTCTTCGAATTTACTGTTTTTCGTGGTTTTCCGTTTTATTAACCAATTCATTTATTATTTTTTGTATTTATTTACTTTATTTATTTATTTTTATAAATCAAATTTTTTTTACTAACTTGAAAATTGTTTTCATTTTTAATTATTTATTAATAAAATATTTTGAAGACTAAATATTTTAATAGCAAAGTATTTAGGAAGCAAAATATTTCAACAGCAAATTATAGTGAAATTTTGATAGTGAAATATTTTGATAGCAAAGTATTTTGATAGTAAAATATTTTGATAGCGAAATAATTTGATAGCAAAGTATTTTGTATCAAATTTTTAGTAATATGAAAATATTTAGTAGCAAAATACTTTAATATAAGAATATTTTGATAAGAAAATATTTTGGTAGCAAAGTATTTTGATAGTTAACTACTTTGATATAAAAATATTTTAGTAGGAAATTACTTAAATAGCAAAATGATTTTATAAAAAAGTTTTTTGATATAAAAATATTTTGATAGCAAAATATTTCAATAGCAAAGTATTTTGATAGTAAAATATTTCAATAGCAAAGTATTTTGATAGCAAAATATTTCAGTAGCAAAGTATTTTGTTAGTAAAAACATTTTTTCTGAATTCCAAAAATTGTCTTAATTAATTTCAATTGTTTCAATTAAGAAGAAAGAAAATAATCTTATACACATGAAAAAAAAAATAAATAAAATAAATAAAAATAAAATTTTTAATTAAATTAAATTCTAATCAATTAAAGTATAGAAATAAGACAAAAAAAAGAAATTCCCTGTTAAATGCGAAACACACAAGGATACAAATTTTCATTAGAGAAAAACAGTAAAAGCTAATGTTCTATAATGACGAGAGAAAGAAAAAGAAACAGGAGCAAAAGAATTGAAGAAAAAAAAAGGGAAAAATGAACGAGGAGCTTCCGGTAGCAGATGAGATCACATGGCTTTGTAAGCTGATTCAAAGGTAAGTTTAAGGGATGTCCGGAAGGGCGACTAAAAGGGGAAGCTTACGGACAAGAATCAAAGGGAGGGGGTAAAGCGACTGAAAAGCCACACACTTCACTAAGAGTTCTCCCTGCAGCAGTCTTACGATTCACCTCGAATTGTTCGTATGTCTTTACACGTGTTTTCAAATCCAAGTCGTTCATTTAATCGGTTTTTTTAATCATTTTTTACTTAATTTTACCAAAAATAATAATAATAATAATTACAAAAAAATTTTTAATAATAATAATTGTAGTTAAAATTGCAATAACGTAAATATAAATAAGTAAAGTATTGTAAACAATAATAGTAAATGTAAATAACAATAATAAAAATAATAAAAAATTATGAACAATAATTGTAGTAAAAATTTGCAACAACAGTAGTATAAATATTAATAGTAATATTAAAAATAGCAATAATAAAAATAATAATAATAATAAAATAAGAGCAATAATGTTAATAAAATAATAAAAGAGTAGTAACAATAATAATAATAATGATAATAGTAATAACGATAATAAATAATAATAATAAAATAATAGCAATAGCAAAAGATAACAAACAAATAATACCAAAAATAATAATATAATTATTATTGTCATTATTTTATTTTATTATTTCCATTACTATCAAACCCATTATTATTATTACCATTCTCAATAATAAATTTTCGTTTTTTACTGCAGTGATTAACTGACAAATAACAATAATTAAAAAAAATGATTTTTAAAAAAACATTAATCGTCAGAAATTGAAGAATTGATGAATTTTAATTAATTTACCCTACTTTGGTATTTATCAGATTTACTCTCCCAAGTGTGGGAGACTTGTGGGTGTCAAATCGTCGTCGGAGAGGGGAGGGGGGTGATACTATTTTCCGAGTGATGTGGGTGTACACCGCGAATAAAGTAAAAAAAAACAATTTTTCCTTTATTTTTTTTTTATTTTTATTGAGAAACGTCAATCGTTTTTTGAAAAATAAAAACTGAACGACTTTTCGTAAATTGGTTTTTGAAGAAAAGTATATAAAATAGAAAAGAACATTCAATAAAGTAAATGGAACAATTTTCCTTTTATCTAATTATTAGCAGCAGTGTTATCAATTATTGGAATTGTGAATGATTTATTTTTTATTTTTTTGTTTAGTAAATTAACTGTTAAATAATAATAATAATTTTAATAATTTTAATTTTTTAATTATTATTATTATCATTATTATTATTATTATTATTATTATTATTATTATTATTATTATTATTATTATTATTATTATTATTATTATTATTATTATTATTATTATTAAATTTAGTAATTTAGTAAATCAATTATTAAATAGTAATTATTACTAAATTTAGTAATTGAGTAAATTAGTAAATCGATTGTTAAATAATAATAATTATTAAATTTAGTAATTCAGTAAATTAATTTTTAAATAATAAATTAATTAATTTTTAATAGCATTAAATGCTAATTTAAAGCTTTATTTTTTTAATTGTTAATGACACTGGGAGGACAAATTTATTATAGTGTAAATTAATAATTTTCCGTATGTTTAATAATAATCAATTATTAAATAATAATTAGTATTAAGTTTAGTAATTTAGTAAAACTTTTCCCTGTCATTAGCTATTCGATTTTACTTATTAAATGTAGTTTTCTTTCTGTTAGAAAATTAGAATTATCAAATTGTAATAATAATTATTTTAATAATAATTTTATTATATTTTTTTTTTATTAATTTTTATTACATTTTCTATTTTTATTTTATTATATTCTATTGAATTTAATTTTTAAAGATTATAAAAAAATTAAATTGTGTCACTCTAATTATTACTAAAAAAATAACAAAAATAAATAAAAACAAACCTGTAAAAATTTATGATTAAAATAGGCATTTTAAGTTGAAACATTATTTTCTGTTATGCATTGAAAAATATATATTTTCTCTCGTATTTATTGAACGGTGAAAATGAAAATGTTAAATTATCTAACTGAGTGTTATAAAATTTTCGGTTAATAAAGAAAAGAAAAGAAAAGAAAATTCTTCTTCAGCTTCTTTTCTATACGTAACAAATCACACTTAGTTGACACAATGGGTACACGGAAGAAACGTTTGCATTTATATGGCTGCTATATCAATAACGAGTGACAGTTACATGGTTGACAGGTCTTACACATTTTCTAGATTTAAAAATATTCACCCCAAAAATAAAGCTTTATTCGTCTCAATTCAAAAAAAGGAAATATATAAGTATATTATTTGTCAGTTGTCAAATTTACACTTTTTACTTAGCAGTGAAAAATTGCTTCCTCTTTTCAAATTCACGCGAATGTAATAATTAAATTTTTCTTCTTTGACAATCTGATTATTTATTACTGAAAAAAAAGAAATCAAAAGAAATAACAAAAAATAAATAAAACTAGTTCCCCATTTTTTCAGTTTTAATTTTCAAATAATTAAAACAAATTTTGCAGAAAAATACAAAAAAAAGAAGATAAATAAATAAAATAAATAAAAAAATAAGAAGAAATAAAAAATAAGTATAAAAAAAAAAATAAATGAATTAGCCAGACTATTTTAATTTAGTGACGAAAATACTTGAATACTATCTACCTCTTCAATTTTTTCCCCTCTGGCCAACGAACTTTCGTTGAAACGTAATCAACGACCTCGAGCGTAAACCGGAAGTCGTAGGTAGCAGTCAATTGCATGACCAGTATTCTATTCCCATATTTAAGAAAAGAAAAAAGATTTTTTCTGACTATTTTCTAATTTCAAGACATGTTTCATAAACATTTTTTTTTCATTTATAAATTTTATTTTCTTAGGCAAAAAAATTGCACCTAAATTATTTAAACCCTTTTCTTGGAGTCTCTCCTTTATTTACGAATAAATTCTTAGACAAAAAGTAAAAAATTTTAATTCCTTAATTAAAAAGTAAAAAAATTAACTAAAACTTACAAAAAAAACTATAAATTTAATAAATTAAAGCAAATTAAACGAAAACATTCAGACACTGAATAAAATATTTATTTACTCCAACGTTTGGAAATCTATAATTTTAATATTATTGAACCCTTTTCTTAAATTTTTTCTCTTTATATTTAAAAATAAATTCTTAGGCACAAAAATAAAAAAATTTAGGTATCTAAAAATTTTAAAGAAATTCAATACTTTTCTTAAATTCTTTCTCTTTAAAATTCTTATGCAAAATAATAAATAATACAAAAATATAATATATCAAATAATGCAAAAAAATAAATAAATTCTTGGGCAACAAAATGAAAAAATTTGGTACTAAAAATTGAAAGAAAATAAAAAATTTAATATTGTTAAACCATTTTTTTAAATTCTTTCCCTTTATTT